ACTAGCTAGGGAACTTAAGTGTGTATAGACATATATATAATTAAAGGGAGATGATGAGAAGCTGGTGCAATATGATATGATGTAGCATGTATAAAAGAAAACAAGGGGGCTAATGAATAAGAATATTGGTAGCAACTTAAAAGGAGGCTAAGAGGGGGTGGGGATGGGTCCAGTAGACCCACGTGGGAGATTGATGATAATTGGCTGAGAAGGGATTAGAGGAGATTTGTAAATGACTATTCTTTGTCTTGTAGGGTATTTTTCTTTCGCCATTAGAGCAAAACCCTCTCCACGTGATTAGTGGGTCCTGACCACCTACAATTTTCCCAAACAGACAAATCCCTCCACACCCAGTTGGCATTCTTCAACAGTAGGTTTTTGATCCTTCTCTCACAATTCGTCACATATTGATATGCCATCTCATATCACCACCTTATAGTATTTATAAAAGACACGTCTTGATTAATTCAGTCATTTCAATATACTCAATGCTATATATGATTTTAAGGTATACCTTGATAAATTCAGCACCTATACTTTTCTTTTACTTGGAAACATACAATATTTGCCCATAATGCACTGATGGAGACCTGTTGCTTAATCGACAATGGCATCTGCAATATCAAGAATTTGATCTTTGCTTCTGTTGCTCCTGAATTATGGTTCTGTTTTGTCAGGGTACAGTTTATCTGCAGGCATATTTATACTCAAGTCACAGCAAAGTAAATGCAGCTGTCTGGAGATTAATAATTAAGCTTAAAGTTAAAGAAAGGACTAATGGTAAGTCGTAGAGACGAATGTCATTTAACATCTTTGGCAGCGCCTCCGTAAACAAGTATCCATAACTCAAAAAGGCCGTCAATAATTGTAATTTGAGAGAGGAGCTCTTGTGTGATGAGATTAAATCAAACATGCAAATCAACAATGGAGAAACAAATAGATTCAGAATTTATGTAGTTCGATCAAAGTGAGTTACTCCAGAAAAGTAATGAATTCATAATTAACAGTAAAGAAGTCCGGAGCAACACCATGTAACCCCACCTGTAAATGGCAATTAAACCAAATGGTCTGAAATGATTAGTCGTTTAATAGACCAAATAATTCTGTAGCTCTGTTAGAATTCTTGACAGGTTTGTCATTTTTCTTCTCTTTTCTCATGCCAACACTTCAGTATATTCCTTCTCAAGAAAAAACCAAACAATCCAAAAGTTTCATAGCAGAATATAATAAAAAGCCAACAAAAAATACTCAATGGATTGAAACAAAAAGAAACTGTTTGCTTCTTTTAGATATTTTCCTCAAATACATAATGTCAAGAGAGATCTGAGGCTGTGGCCCCCCAGACTCGAAATTAAGCTATCCGTTCAAGATACAAAACAGCTGCAGGCAATGCAAGAAGCTGGATAGAAAATTTGGTGCTGGTGATTTAATATACATCTTGTACTTTTTATCCCAAATAAAAAGAATCTCGATAGAAAATTACTTGCAAAGGAAGAAATCAAAATCCAGTGGGTAAGTAATATATACATAAACTTTTAAGTTAATTACATTCTAAAAACACAAAGTTCTTGGTGTACATTTTTTTTACATAAATGTATACGTCTAAAGGGTGCAAACAATATGCAAATGCAGTTATCAGTGGTGGTCCTCCGAGAAGACATCCTAATAGTTACAAAATGCAGATTGGCACGTGATTCGAACTCTCACGTAACCGATGATGTTGCTCTTTCAACCTGTTTCTCAAGACTGAATCACGCCAATGGTAAAGATTTAATCTGATTTTTAATTAAACATGAGAAGAACATGCCAAACACAGAACAATAACAAAAAAAAGTCACAAGAAATTACCACCCCACACCGAATTTTCATGTGTTTGAGCTCAGTACTTCCAATATCTCTTTGACAGGAAAAGACAAACACATATTATCAATGCAACAGGCCTGTAATTAGAATTTTAATAAAATAACAGCAAGCAGAAACCTAAGTTTGTGATTTCTCATGAAGTCAATTCCTTGTGTTACTAATTTGGTTCTCTTTCTGTAGAAGACAACTTTCCATGAGTAGATAACAACTGTCCCAAAGGAATTAGTGACCTAAGCATGTCAAAATATCTTGTTGCCTATGCAAAATGATTACTTTGCACATTGGACAAACAAATTTTATATCTTTTTACCACCTAGTCATGGTTACTAAAGGGTAATTGTTTGTTGAGAGGTAAAATGAAGTCTGCTGCAACATTAATGATTTTGGAGGGAAGTAAGAGGTAACAAACTCTTTGTCAAAAATATATCAAACACTTGGCGTGCAGGAAGTTAAACAATACAAGTACATAATATACCAGCTGATTATGATCACAGTGCAATCCTATTGACCTATCTATATCTCAAAGAATAGTTACTTACACTACCAACTGGCAAGCCTATCTCTTTTTTGGATGTAGTCTTTAAATGTAAGTCTGTTTGAAAAAGCTAAGTTGGGATTTTGATGATTATAGATAAAGGAATGTACTAGATTAGTAGTGGGTAGTACTAGTATTTGAAGGGCAGTGATATTAGGAAACACATATTTATGTACTTGACAATGGACATGCAAGCTCTGGAATCAGAGAGAGGGAGATAAGAAGAGAGGGAAACATATGATCCAGATTTGTTGATGGAGGATGAGGTTATCCATTCATCAGAAAAAAACCATGTAGCACAACTGTTTAGTTCCACATCAGAAACCTCTTTATTATCCCAAGTTGTCCAAATTCCCTTCTCCTTCTAGTATAGTCCGAAAACAAGTCATTTATATGTGATCAAGACCACCACCCAAGTCGTACCGTACGAACCATGTCGTCAAGAGTGATAAAAACAGAGACCTGAAAAACGAACAGCAACCGAGTAAAGCACATAAACCTCAAAGCCTTCTGTTACTAATTATATTTCTTTTTGATCAGTAAGCGTGATAGAGAAGCCTAATCACGTTGTATGGGACAGGGCCCTGAAAATTTTGGCCAGTTGAATATGCCATGGACGTGACCGTTAAGAAATCGGGGAATCCATGAAATTTTACAACAGACAATGGACCTGGATCTCTCTATAAGCCCAGCCCCAGGGTACGGAGAATAGGTTGGGATCACTGAACACCTTCATATGTAAATCTAACTTCTACTTTTATTGAAACACTTTCGGTAGATCATTACTAAAATATTTATTATTTTTTATTTGAAGAAGTAGGACAAATATATATTTTATTCATTAATATATTGTTCGATTTGTAATTTATAGAATTTTTTTACGTAACCTTAGTTTTTCAGGTTTTCTTCTCTAATTTTAGCCTCACATTTGATGTTGCCGATTGAAGACTCGCTAATGTACTCCAAAAAAATGTGTCTTCCGCTTTTCCGCACCTATGTGGGATATTTCAAGAAGTCTCCAAGTATGATATTGATGGAGGATCCTCCATCCTAGTACTATAGAAGAGCATCATCACTTGGCAACATCAAGCTTTGGATTTTCGCTATGGAATCCGAAGGAAAGAATCACTATATTTTATTTCACAAGGTAAAGCATACAGGAGCCCTTTTTATCAGGATGTTCCGTATAAGTTCGTTTCATGCTTGAAGATTTCATCCTCTAGCTTTTAATTTTTGACCTGCCGCCAGCGCCCAAAAGGACATGATCTCAACTACAACCAGATTAGAACCTACTGTTACAGATTGCTAAAAGCCAAGTATGCATTTGCAAGTGGAAAGAGTCCTGGAATGAGCGTCAACACAAATTGAATAGGTTCGCATTACTTGCAGATTCTCAGAGATTACTACATGTGTTCTTTCAATGACACCTTTTACCACATTACAACGACTACCTGTGGGAAAACAACACCGTAGGTAATTTTGTTGGAATGACGTAAAGAAATCTTTCAAAACTTGTATCTAATGTGTCAGATCAATAAAATCCAGAAAAACTTCCACCGGACTTAGATTTTTGTTCACTAGTTGAAATTAAAATCTCTACAGATTTTTAATTTCTATTTCTAATCGAACTCCTCTCAGGACCCGCAAAAAGATCTAAAAATGCTTGGGAAAAAAAAATGCTGATAGTCAAAAAGAACCTTGAGTTAACCTCCAGCCATTATGAATACAGTGCAAGTACAAATTACTCATTTGGTTCAGAATTGTGGGGTAAATAATTGGGAGGCCCGCTCAAGCGAGTTCTGCAAAGTAAGCAGCGTCAGCGCTCGGCCAGCCTATCACCCCTCCATAAATTCTTGCGCATCATTTTAGATCGAGCGCGGCGACCAGCTCTCACCGGTCGCTTTGTTTTCCTTACTCATTAGTTTAAGGCAGTTTGGCAAGGCTCTCCAAAGTTTTACTTAAAGAGGACTTCATAGCACGGGATTTCGCTTTCCTAACGATGTGGGACTCCGCGGAAGAGTAATAGAACTATAACACGCACTCTTCAGCCTGTTTGTGCATTCTGTCGATACACTCTTTTTCATTTAAATTTATTAATTTGTCATCAATAATTTTATACTTATTAGAAATTATTAGAATAATACTTATTCAATCTAAATATTATTAAAATAAAAATAATTTAACATTAATTTTTATTGAATAAATAAATATTTTTAAATACTTCATAAAAATCTAATTATAATGATTAATTTTTTTATTATTATCTAGCTTTTAGTCATTTCAATATTTTTAATTTTGATAAATAACTAGTTAATATAATACAATGTTTTATACTAAAACGGAAATCATTGTTAAAAGTAAGAACCAGAATGTTAGATAACTTGACAAAATAACTTTGGTATAACCCCCATTAATATTCGCGGTTATAGATAGTTCTAAACATGTTAAAATTATGACTCTCACGCAATAACAAGCAATCTCACTTTACTAATTTTCGGTTTAAATGTAATATTTTGGGACCAAAAATCGGCTCAAATTTTTTTAATTATAAAAAAATTATATAAATAATTAATTCAATTTATTTTAAATTAATTTTATTAAAATTTTAAGAAAAAATAAATTAAAAATGAAATTAAAAATAAATTTTAAAAAAATTGGTGAAATTTTGAATTCGGATGATATTTTTGAAAGAAAATTTAAAAACAGATGATTAAAATGCAAAAAGAGAAAGTTTGGTCATGTAGAACAGCCCAGTCAGTATTCTCGCAAATCAGAACACACCGCGTGACAACCCCGCTGATATCGGTACCATGCGGGAAGCCATGCAAGCGATCCACATGTCCAACGATCCGATGATCCAGATTTAATCACGCGCGCGCGAACGATCCAAATGTGTTCTCTTTTTAAATGCAATCGAACTATCAAATTTAATCTGATTGTGCAGTTCAAATTTATTTTCCGAATAAGATAGATCCAACGGATGAGAGAGGACCATGCATACCTGAATGGATGATCCAGATCAACACGGGATGAGTATTTAAGTATTGTATTTTAAGGAACTTTAACCCTAGCCGCACTTGCCCTTGCAGTAAAAAGAGCCAACCACCAGCCGCTGTCACACCAGAGCCACCGCCAACCGCTAAAAAAGGTAAAATTTTTCTTTTCCCGCTCAGAATTTGATTTCAAATCTCACCGTGACCATATCGAAGCAAAATGGACGACAAGTGAGGTAGAAACTGCGGGTAAAGCCCAGCA